GGGTCTTAATGTTGTCTTGGCAGGTTAGGAGAAAAGGCCGAAAATCATGACAGCAGAGGAGTGGGACAACCTCACCGAGTGGGGACCATTGAGAACTTCATCTCAAATGAGGTGTTGTTCAACATGATGGAAGACACCGTGAAGCAAACATTGGAAAAGCACGAACAAATGTTTGCAAGAAAGTCACTATCAAACAAACTCTTCCTCATGGAGGAACTCATGGAGGAGCTTCTAAATCTTCGAATGGAGGAGGGAGCATCTTAGCACATTCAATAGGTGTATTGCGGACTTGCAGATGATGAAAGTTATATATGATACGAAGGGTAATGCTCTTATGTTGTTGACATCCTTACCTCTATCATATAGGCACTTTCGAACAATGCTTATGTTTAGCAAGAGTACTCTCAAGATTGAGGAGGTGGTACAAGACATTCTCACCCACCACCGAATGTCTAAGCATGGTGGAGAGGGCTCTCTAGGCGAAAGATTAGTGGTAAAGACCGAAGAAAGAGGTTGTTCAAACAAGCGTGATAGCAAGAAAGACAATGGTAGGAATTCTAAATCCAAGGACAATGATGGTTTGCTTCGAGTGTGAATCTAAGAATCATTGGAAAAATAATTGTGCGGAACAAGTTGAAGAATGCCGAAGTATGTAATTAAAGGATTTGGCTAAACAATTCAATTTTTAAATCTTTATTATATTTTCCACAATGGAATCAAAAGATTGTAATTAAAAAAATGTGATGTACTTTGTACTAAACAATTTGATTCTTCCAAGTTCATTGGTTTTGTTCTTATTATTCTAATATTTGATTACATTCTGTAGTTTTATATTACACAATCTAATTGGAACTTGAAGTTGTTCAATTTTCATGTCTATTTTATTGTGATCTTTGATTCATCATTTAGTTTTTAACCTAATGTTTTTAAAATTAAAAAATCAATACTTTTATATGATCTTTTTGAACCCAACGTTCAAGATCAAATTCAATATATAACTAGAAATTTTATACTTTGAAACCTGAAGTTTAAGAATTTATTTCAATTTATTGTATTAGAAATTTGCAAATATTTTTAGACTAGATTTTGTAGTTCTATAAATTAAATTTATCTTAGATATGACATTTTATATATTTAATTTATTTATAACTTTATGCTTTATGTTTAGATGCTTATCATTTTTTTTAATGATAATTTGCAGTTGTTATTATTTTAAGTTTAAGTCTACTTTATTTTCTTTATGAATTATTTATTGATTATTTTATTTGGACCAGAAGTTCCATGTTAAACAATTAGTTAAAAGTTAAAACTAGAAGTTTCATGATACATATATTTGAAATACAAAATTTAATTTAAAATATTTGTATTGACATACTTAATTCGAAACCTGAGTACGGTCCTTAGCCCGTGCATGTGTCGAAACCACATGCTTATCATACCTTTTGGTTGAACTTGGTGTCCAACTCCAATTCCCAGTCCATCTTTACTGTGACAATATCTGCGCAACTTACTTGGCAGCCAATCTTGTTTTTCACACATGCACCTGACATATCAAGCTCGATTATCACTTCGTCCGTGAAAAGGTGGCCTTGGGCATCCACCGGGTTTGCTGCATTCCATCCATTGATCAAGTGACTGACCTCCTCACCAAATACCTTCCCAAACCGCGCCACAATGTTCTCCCATCCAAAGGGTTTTATAATATTAAGGGAGCTTTAGTTTTAAACCATAATATAGTTTACTAATTTAGTAGAAAGAAATACAATTTCATCTAATTAGCATAAGGCCAAAGACCAAAATGAGTACCCAATTTTACAAAAATATCATTAAAAAATATCAAAATTACACACAATGCCATTCCTTCTAAGGCAAGCATACTATGCCACATGTCCACATCCAGCCAACCACCACCGCCGGCCAACTGTTCGGTTCATTTTTACACATGATTTTTCATGTTATTCACCTATTATTTTGAGTTAGTTCTTGACATTTTATAGCTTTTTACTTCCTTTTTGTGTTTTCTTAGATTTTACCTTGGTTGGAATGAAAATGAGCTAAAAGT